TTTTTTTTTGGCAACGTAGTCTTGCTCTATCACCCAAGCTGGAGTGCAGTGGCTCAATCTTGACTCGCTGCAACCTGTGCCTCCCAGGTTCAAGCGATTCTCCGGCCTCAGCCTCCCAAGCAACAGGGACTACAGGCGCATGTCACCACGCCCGGCTAATTTTTTTTTGTATTTTTAGTGGAGACGGGGTTTCACTGTGTTAGCCAGGATGGTCTCGATCTCCTGACCTTGTGATCCTCCTGCCTCAGCCCCCCAAAGTGCTGAGATTACAGGCATGAACCACTGTGCCTGGCCTCTTTTTTTTTCTAAGATGGAGTCTCGCTACGTGGCCCAGTCTGGAGTGTAGTGGTGCGATCTTGGCTCACTGTAACCTCCACCTCCCAGGTTCAAGCAACTCAACTGTCTCAGTCTCCCGAGTAGCTGGGACTTCAGGCATGCGCCACCACATCCGGCTAATTTTTGTATTTTTAGTAGAGATGGGGTTTCACCAAGTTGGTCAGGCTGGTCTTGAACTAGTGACCTCAAGTGATCCACCCACCTCAGCCTCCCAAAGTGCTGGGTTTACAAGTGTGAGCCACCGTACCCAGCCACCTCTTCCTTTCAAAACCAATTTCTCCACCATGCTCTTGTAACAAATCCCTGGTCTCTAGAACACCCTGCTCCAGCAGCAAGTTACTTTTTCTCCCAGGCAAACTCCCACACTGCACTGCCTCCTCCCATGCAATATATAAGCCTGCTGAACAAAGAAGAGAGCAGCACAGAGGAACCAGTGGTCATTTCTGCCTGAGAGTTTGGGAGTGTGTTGATGATTGTCAGCAGAATTGCTTCTTTCTTCAATTAAAAACAAAACACAGCCAGTGTGATGGCTCACACCTGTAATCCCAGCACTTTAGGAGGCCAAGGCAAGAGGGTAGCTATAGCCCAAGAGTTCACAAAACATCTCTGCCTATTGTTTACTGTCTCCAGTTTCAGCCCTCAAAGAGTCACAGCTGTCTCCTACTCCCTCAAATACATATACCTCCATGTGTGCTTTTTTTTTTTTTTTTTT